TGAAAACAGAAGGTAGACCAAGAATTAAAAACAAACACATCCCCAAATAACATGTCTATAAAATACTCTGTTACTTATCCCAGATTTACAAATTTGCAGATTTGCAGTTTCAAAGGTCTAGAAAAACAGTGGTTTTATTTTAAAACAACAACTTTGTGGATCACCAAGTTTTCAAAACTTTTCAAATTAAGTGTGCTATAGGACATTTTTTTTTCCTTTATCCAGATTACTTCTTTATTACCCTAAAGTACCCTTGTTGGAGCTTGCATGCACTGCTCTCAGAGTATCTTACGTGACTAATTACCAAGCAAAGCAATGATAGAAAAGTATTTTGCTTACTAAAAACAGCACATTTGAGAGAAAGAACTCAATCTGAAAGAGTTTACCGTTCCTTTCTATGCAACTACAGAAACTTAGAAAATAAATTATATACTTCCGAAGAGAAAATGCTCATTCTCCCTTCTAAATAGCTAAACTCAACTTTCTGGTTTTCAATTTGGAAAAGAAGGAGGAATTCAATCCTATAAAAAGGAAAGAATGAGCTTGTTCCTATTAGTCAATAGCAGTGAAATTTCCACAAAAAGCAAAGGATTCCTGTAAGTGGCAGAATGGCACAGGAAAAAAAAAAAAACCAAAGACAATTTAATAAAAGGGACAGAAAAAGCAGTGAAACATTAGTTTAAGATATTAATGCTTCAACTCCAGTTTTCATGCCTAGGACTATTCACCCAATGATATAATCTTAAATTTCCTCTCCTTGTTTGACCAGATCTATGTTTATTCTGACAAACAGCAATCTTTTCATTCCAGGATTCTATAAAGCCCTCTCCTTAGAAGTCAGCTCCTGCATCATTTTTAGAACTGATCTGGCTGAAGAGGTGATTGTGGCACTGGAGTAGAGTATGGCTGCAGGCTACCTCTCTGATTGAAAACTCTAACAACAACAAAATGTTTTAATTAAGGTATAAAACATATACAAATAAGGCAAATAGTGTGCACAAATATGAAGTATACAAGTGGATACATTTTTATATATGTATACATACTTTTAACTATAATCCAGATCAAGATATAGAACATTGCCAGCACTCCAGAAGTTCCTTGTGCCCTTTCCCAGTCAATATTCATCCACCAGAGGAATCACCATCTGACTTCTACACCATTGATTAGTTTGCTTGTTCTTGAACATCATATAAATTAGACAGTCTGTGCTCTTTTGTGTCTGGCTTCTACAGTTCACTGCAATGTCTGTGAGATTCATTTATGTTGTTGTATGTATCCATAATGTGTTTTTTTTTTTTAAATAGCTGAGTAGTATTCCATTGCATAAATATAACACAATTTATCTATTTTCCTATTGAGTCGTTTGGTTTTTTTTCCAATTTGGGATTATTATGAATAAAGCTACAGTGAATATTCGTATACAGATCCTTTGGTGGACATACGCACTAATTTCTCTTGGCTATATACCAGGTGTGGAATTGCTGGGTTATAGAGTAGGTACATGTTTAGCTTTATTGCTCAACAGTTTTCCAAAGTGGTTAAACCAATTTACAAGCCCATCATCGGTGTATGACAGTTCCAGTTCTCTGCATCCTCACCAACTCTAGGTATTGTCAGACTTTTACATTTTATCCATTCTAGTGGATATGTAGTGGTATCTCACTGTGGTTTTAATAGCCACTTCTCAGATGAGTAACTATATTAAGCACCTTTTCATATACTTATTGGTCGTTTTGATATCCTCTTTTGTGAAGTGCCTGTTAATGTCTTTTGACCATTTTTTTTATCGGTGGTTTGTCTTTTCTTGTCGCATTGTAGGAGTTCTTTATATATTATGAATACAAGTTCTTTGTCAGATTTGTGTATTGCAAAAATCTTCTCCCAGTTTGTGGCTTGTCTTTTCCCTCTTAATCATGTTTATTTTTGTGAACAGAAGTTCTTAATTTAATGAAATCCAATTTATTTTTTTTTCTTTTAAGTTAATACTTTTTATGTCCTATTTAAGGGCTCTCTGTCTATTCCAGTAACTATTTGCCATACTTGCTTCTAGAAATTCTATTGTTTTACCTTTTACATTTAGGTTATAATCAATTTTGAATTAATTTTTTATGTATAGAGGGAGGTAAAGGCCAAGATTCATTTTTCCCCATATGGACATCCAACTGCTCCAGTATCATTTACTGAAAGAAGCTCCAATTTTTAATTTACATTGACTGTCAGATAACAGGAGAACACCTTCCAAGAAAGGAGCATTTCTCATACTCACCTGTCTGAATAGTCTGCTTTCCTCCTGAGAGGACACCCAGAGGGAGTGTACCTGTAGGAGTCAGGCCCTTGAGAGTCAGCACACTCTCACTCTCTTCCCTGCAAAGGAAGATCAAAGCCCTGGATTAATGCCAGGGAGCCCACCATTCAGCAATTCAAAAAAATACTTGAAGGAAGTTAACAAAAAAATCACAGAGACAGAAGATCTTCCTACTCTCTATCCCTTCCCTGACTCAAAGGATGTATTCTGTAAATATTCCAATTATAAACAATCAGCCAGTTCTTGCTTTTCAGTAAGAAGCACTTAGTAGTCACGTACTTTCCTAATGTTTCCCATATATTATCCCATTTAATCCTTCTAAAACCTGGAGGTTGGTTCTATCATTATCTCTATTTTACAGATGAGAAAACTGAGGCATAGAGGTTAAGCCCAAGATACACAGCTAAGAAAAGGCAGCAGAGCCAGGATTTGAACAAGGTAATCTGGCTCCAACATCTACACTAACCCACTACACTCACTACTTTAAGCTAGTACCAGTGAATGTTTGCCAGAACGTTTTCATCACTTTAACATGTAGGTCTGATTCAGTCTGCACTTGACATGAAGACTAGCAGTTCCAATCCCAAATTCCAACTTAAAAAAAAAAAAAAAAAACTGTTCTGAAATCAACTTCTAATTTACTCTCAAAACGCTTGTATTGAACACTGTAATGCCAGACTTTTCCTTACCGAAGAATTGAAAAGACTCGTGCCATCTTGCCAATGGCTCTGATTTTATTCTTGATGATCTCCTTACGAACTGTAGTGCCTCCTTAGAGAATACAAAGAATATGTAAGTTAAAGGAATGTGTTCACAGGGTAGTTTTTAAAAATGCAGGATGAAGTATCTTTCTTATTTAAGTTAAAGAAACTGTTGTTTTTTAAAAAAAGAAATCAAGGTCTAAATTTGTTTAAACAAACAAAAATCCCAGGAAGTTCTAAGGAATACGAGAAAAATAAACTTAGAAGAGAAAAAGGATGAAGTAAAAAATGGAGAGGGCACAAAAAAGACAGACTCGGTGGGTCTATCAGATATAGGAACCTACTTGTGGTTCTGAAATGTAGAACACAGCAAAGAATGAAATACACACACGTAAAGAAACCGCACACAAAGACAGTTGCTACCGCAAAGATCTCTTTTGAGAATGCTGTGGGTCACATTAGGATACAGGGTTTGGCCTGCCAAACAGCAAGTGACAATTTTTACTCTGTGTGCAAACTCAATGTACAGCTAGCTCTCCTGAAATTAGTGAGGGTTGCATTCATTCTTTAATCCTCACTTATATACTGATGAGTTATATTATAAACAAAACAAAACTTGTTGCCGTCAAGTCGATTCCAATTCCTAGTGACCCTACAGGACAGAGTAGAACTGCCCCACAGGGTTTCCAAGGCTGTAATCTTTACAGAAGAAGACTGCCACATCTTTATCCTACAGAGCAGTTGGTGGGTTTGAACCACCAACCTTTTGGTTAGCAGCCAATCACTTAACCATTGTGCCACCAGGGCTCCTTATTTTCTATTATACCAAACCAAACCCCCTGCCGTCGAGTCTATTCCGACTCATAGCTACCCTATAGATCAGAGTAGAACTGCCCCATAGAGTTTCCAAGGAGCACCTGGTGGATTCAAACTGCTGACCTTTGGTTAGCAGCCGTAGCTCTTAACCATCACGCCACCAGGGTTTCCACAGGCAGTATAAATTAAGAGGACGGGTAAGGTATTTTATAAAGTGATATCAAAAAAGTTAATGCAAGACTTTTTGTCCTTTTCTCATCTAAGATTCCGGAAATAGCCCACAAATGAGAAACCAAGATCCAGGCACGCACCAGGTGACGGCATTCAAAAGTCAGAAAAAGAAACACAGCCTCTCCTTCCTCACCCTCCAGCTCTCGGATACCCTGAGGGTTCATACGGCAGGTTCATATAAAACATTTACAGTAAAACAGAAAGGGAGGATGGAGAGTCTGTCTTGAATTATTCAACTACCAACTAAAAAGAGTCTAACTAATAGACGGCAGTGGTACAGGCAGTGAGTATTAAGCTCTTAGCACATTTTAGTTGGGTACCTTTCTTATAGCTTGAAATGTAGTGATCTTCAGGGAGAAGAGACACCAAGAAACAAGGAGATGAAATAGGAATATGAGAAGAAAGATTTAAAGTTACATGGAAGAGAAAAAAAAAATCAAAGTGAAATGCAATGAAAGAGGCAGGTTATCGTCTTTATTAGCTTCTAAGAGACACCCTTGGCATCATGATAGAATACTAAATTACAGATTTCTTATGGCAGTAGTTTTTGCCATTTCTTAAAAGTTTATAATTTTACATTAATTCATATTTATTACTATCCAACATTTTGCATCCCCACAGATCATGAAAATAAAACTAGGAAAAGAAAAAGATATTGTTTGTGGAATGAATGATGCTGAAAACAAGGAACAAAAACAAAGGACAGAATGAACAGCTTACAAATCTTAAGAATATGGTGCAACAATTCAGACTATCCTCAGTAAAAGTAATGGAATAACATACCTGTGAATTCAAAGAAAAAGAAATAAAACTTAAAGATGCATACTTTTTGCTTTTCTATCAAATTTTAGACCAGTTTGCTAAGTGACTGAAAACCACGCTAGTAAGATGATGCACTGACGGGCATGCTCAGAGAAGAATTCTGTCACGGTCACAGCTAGTCATAGGGAGATGATTACACACACTATAATCTCTCTCTACATCTGGCACAAGAATCCAAAGCACACGCTCTACTGGCAATAAGTTCTTTGTTTCACCTTTACAGAAAGGAAAATACTTTTTCATAATAGCAGAGAATTATTTTCTCATTTCTCCCAATTCCTTCCATTCAACAATATAAGAAATTGTTGAACTTCACTGTGGTTTTGAGAAGATAAGAGTAGAAAATAAGTAGCAGATAAGAGGGCAAGGTGCCCTTCTCAAGGACCACTAAAACCCTCAGTGTGTAACCAGTCAAAACTAGATATGAAAGCCAACACCACTTTTCAACTGAAAAATCCAAAAAAGCCAATGAAAATATCCTTAACTATTTAAAACAAAAAGTAGTTAAGTAGTCCAAGTCCTTTCCTCTACCCCTCCATCTGTGCCACCCAGAAGAAACAACTGTTTAAAAAACTAATCAGTTCTAGTCAAAGTCTTTCTGAACTTTTTATTTAAAAAACAAAAACAAAAACATGCTATACATGTTTGTTAGGCATTTGCTTTTTTTTTTTTCCTTAACTTTTCAAATAATTTCAAACTTACAGAAAAGTTGAAAGATTAGTACAAAGAACTATATATTCTTTATCCAAAATTCATCTACTTGATCTCTCTCTCTATATATATTATTCATATAATTTTTTCCCTGAAACATATGAGAGTAAGTTGTATGCATCAGGGCCCTTTATTACTGAATACATTAGTGTGTATTCTCACTGCTGGTACCACCACATAACACAGTATGTGGTTACCATACAACTACAGTACAGTTATCAACCTCTTTAAGTTTAATACTGACATAGTACTTTTATTTAATCTACTGTCTAGATTCCAGTCTTGTCAACTGACCCAATAAACTCCTTTCTACCTAACACTTCTCTTCTTTGCAGCAAAGGATCCGGTCTAGGATCACATATTGCAATCAGCCGTCACATCTCTTCAGTTTCCAGTTCTTCAGACATTTTTTTGTCTTTCATGGCATGGACATTTTTGAATAATATAGTCTCTCCATTCCCTGTCTTTTTGTTTAATAGAATGTTTCTCATTTGGGATTTCTTTGATGTTTTCTCATTAGTAGATTCGAGTTATGCATTCCTGGTTGGAATACTACATAAGCGACATGTCCTTCTCAGGGCATTATATCAGGAGGTACATCATGTGCATCTGTCCCTGGTTGGTGATGTTAATTTTAATCACCTGGTGCTGTTCAATTTCTACATTGTATACTTTTTTTTTCTCTCTTTGAGACTAATAAGCAATCTGTGGGTAGACACTTTAAGATCACATGTAAATATCTTGCTTCTGATCAAAATTTCCCCACTAGATTAAACATCCGTTGGTGATTCTTACTTGAATCAGTATTTACTATGCTGCTTGCAAAATGTTGATACCATCTCACCCCTGCCCCCGGAACATATTTCTTTTGTGTCCATCATTTTCTTGCTTTTCTTTATTAGTTGTTTTAGAAAAAAAACAAAAGAATCCAGTACAAATTTAGCTGGGTAATGAAAGGGCAATACTGCCATTAATAGATGAGGATTTACAGAAGCAGGTTAATTGGATAATCTGGCTTCAGCTTCACAGTGTTTTAAGAGCCTCTCCTGGAGAAGTCAGTAAGCAAGGTTCTGAGTAAGTTCTGGGAAACAGACATCTGGCAGGAATATGCTCAGAGGAAATAGAGTACTGTATACTTTCGGCTTCCAGCTTACCCTGGTCTACCTCCTGTTCTCAGAAGTATATCAAGGCAGAATCTTTTTATGGGGTGAATGAAATGTCTCAATTGATCTGAGCAGCAGGGAATGAAGGGAAAATGAGAAACATTATCAGTACATGGTCAAGACAAGTACAGACAAGGATCAGGAGATGTTCAATTGGGCATTCTGTCCTCAGGTTAAGAAGACTGTACAGTATTATGAGAGGTTTTAGAAATGATTTTCCTTAGAATGTCTTGTTTCTTCTTGAGGTTATATTCCTCAAATCTGGACTTATTATCCTCTACATGTGATGCGCAGCTGTCATTTACGGATCTACATTCACCATCCTCCTGGGATTTCCCTTCATCTCTTCTGTGCTAGATCTTGTTTCATCTTGCTTGGTTTCTCTGATTTTGGTGAAACACATTTTCCAGTGGACTTTTGAGAAAGGGCACACAGGAGGTACTTTTTTTGAGATCTTGCCAGTCTCAATAGGGCTTTGATAGTTTGGCTGGGTATAGAATTCTTACTGGCGATAATATTTTCTTCAGAATTTTGAAGACATTGCTCCACTGGCTAGTTTCCAACTATCAATATTTTATATATAACCAATTCTCCTCTCACCAGTAAGCTTTCTTTGTCCTTCATATGCTGTACTGTAACACTGTTATGCTTTGGTGTGGGTCTATTTTCATCTAGTTGGTGGATCCTTCATCTCTCTTAATTCTAAGGGACTTCATTTCCCTTAAATCCAAGAATTTTTCTTAAACGATTTCTTTCCTTCCATTTCCTCTCTTCTCTCTTTTTAAGAACTTCTACTGCTCAGATGTTGGACCTCCTGGATTGATCCTCTAATCTAACTTTACTTTCCTATTTTCCATCTCTGTTTGTTCTACTTTCTGGGAGATGCCATTAACTTTATCTTCCAAAAGGCTATTGAGTTTTTTATTTCTGTAATCAATTTTTTAATTTTCAAGAGCTTTCTGATTTTCTGAATGTTCCTTTTTAAAATAGCAGTATTAACAAAAGTTTAATGGATTCTATATCTTCTATTATCTTTCTGAGAATATTATAGTTTTTACTTATTTAAGTTTCATACTTCCTTCAGAATTTCCAGTTCATTTAAGTTGCTTTTTGCTGTTTTTTTGTTGTTCTTTTTCTCACAGAGACTTTCCTTAAAAATATGATAAGCCTTGGTGTTTGCTCATGATTAAGACTCAGGGACTAAGAAGCTTTTTGAGTTAGTGGGTGGAGGGTGTTGACTTTAAGCTTTACATAGAGTGATTAGGGTGGGCCTTTAATAGGGAATTCTTGATATCAGTAATGAGTATACATAAGGTCACTTAATTCA